GAACAAAGCTGAATGCCATACATGTAAGTACCCGCGAAAACTTAAGAAAACATATATACATATTTACATTTAGTCTTTGTGTCATTTTATATATTATTCATTGTACTGCATTTCAATTACATCTTAGATTTTTAATTTACATTTTATAGATTTCCTTTCATATCACTCCATACATAGAAATTGTTCCATACTTTATAGTATTCTGATACGTCTTCTTTCAATTCTAATGTCAAACTGTCTTGTTCTTGGGTTTTAAATGAGGCACAGCTGGCAGTCTTGCTTATTGCTTTAACCAGAATCGGCATTATCTCAAGGATAGTGGAAACAGTCACTTTTTGAGATGCTCTATGGTAGACATTTCTCAGCCCAGTCAATATCAAGGGATGAAGGAGAGACAAATGTAACACAATATTTGCAGAAAATGGCCCAGATTCTGTCTCGTATTTTTCAACACGTGCAAAATGCCTTGCCACCAGTAACAACAGCACCATTGTATGTCCCACCTAGAGAGTGGGTTTGAGTAAAGGAACTCTTCCCGAGTGCAACCAGTGCCAAGTGGTCCAACCCTCGGCAGGTTCTTCTTAGCACACCCACGGCGGCTAAAGTTGAAAGCTTGGGTCCATGTTTCTAGAATAAAGAAGATTCCACCACCCCAGTGGGAGCGTCAACCCGTCACCGACTTGAAGCTATGTTTGCAACGAACCCCAGCTTCACCCGCAGACCTTTTTGATTACCTGGAATCCTGACTACTTGCTGTTCGTTTTTATAGCAATTTGCTTTTTGCTTTGGATTATTGCTTCCTGATAAAATTGCTGCATTTCAAGAAGGAAGCTTTGTGTGATTAAAGCCACAGTGAACTTCATTAGCCTCCATTAGCTTCCTACTAAACCTAGGTGCTCGACTATTTGACATGTCCACTGCGTCATCCAGCTCATGTTATTCCTTTTCCACAAGAGGCATTGCCAACTCTATTTGTTATTGAGGATTCTATTTCTCACGACGTCCTGCCATCAGAAGAGGGATTATGACAGTAATGACTATGAACTATGGCTCCAGCTCTTTTCACATGAAAAGGATTCTGATGATTTTGATTCTGAGTCTGAAACTGATTTCCCTTACTCTTGAGGCAGATGAAAATGTGTTATGAGTGTATAAAAACCACCCATACAGGAGCTAAAATCACGAAAACTCTGGTTTACCATTCAGATTATACCTGTTAGGGAATAAAATATACCTGCACACATGACCAGATACAATATGCCACCTGTTCCAAAGGTAGCCAAATGATGTGTCACTCTCCATAGGGAGTACTGTTCACCACTAAGGAATAGGTGTGTGCATTTGTGTGGGGAGATAATCATTATACCCAACAGTTGGCTTACAACCACACTATACTTGGGCAAAGCCCAGAAATGACTGTTTGTTTTGATACTTGTATATTACCTTGTTTGAAACTTGTAATAAAATCAGTTGTTACTAGCACAATTTCTAGAATAACAATTGTGGTTTCGGGAAGACAGGACAAGCCTTCCACAGTTCTTACTTTGACACCAGTACCTAAGCAATATTCACCATTGTTCCAGCAACATCCTATTGCCTTAAAAAGGGAGGAATGAAAGGATTAGAGAGAGCATACACAGAGTATATCTGGCTCAACCCTTGATTCCCTGCTGGGCTGGGCTGGACACCATTGTAACCTAATGTGCGAACCACAGAGACAAAGCTTCTAGGCAAAAAGCCAAAAGTAGCCTAGCAAAGTAACTTGTGAAATGCAAATATGTTTTCTCAGCAACTTAAATGTGAGAAATAAAGCTCTGGGCTAAAATATTCCTTTCCCATCTAATGTCCTTTGTTTGCAGAAGCACTGAGAAAAATCATGATACAAAATAATGTTTCTATAGCAATGCCGATCTTTCCAAACTGTATGAACTATAAAGAGTTTGAGTAAAAGTTTTTTTGCGCGCACCTGCTTTTCTCTCTGCCTGCTCTGTTTAAGGTGGGAGACTAAAAGGTTACCCAGTTTTTGCTTTCTGATCAGAAATAAAACTGATTATCAGTAGCCTCGTGTTCAGAATTTCATTGGACTTATCAGATTCTGAGCTGCACTCAAAAACATTACATTATAAAATTTAGAAACCACTCATTATCCTCATAGAAGGACTCCTGTTCCTGAATGCCAGGTGCAACAACCACAAATTGTGCACATTGGATAGCAAAAATATATATACTGCATATAAACAGAATCAGAACAGAAGAGAAAACATGGCACCATTTTTTCATTAATTGTGATTCGTAGGGTCTGGGGTAGTAATGATGTGTCTATGCCATCCTTGCAGATGTACAGTCTACATTTACCAATCTAATTATAATTTCCTTTTTATAGGTCAGAACAAGGCAAGAAAAAAAAGGAGAGGAAGATTTTTGCATGGCTGTAAGAAAAGTACAAGAAATTGTGGAGCTGAAATTCTCTGACCTTAAGTGCAATAATAGTACCTGTGGAAGCAATAAATTGCACGGTCCATATAGACTAGTTTATAAAAAAAAATGTTTAAAGGAAACTAAAATGGATACTATTAGAACAGCAGCATCTACCAAGGCCATTAGAGAAGGAATCACTGCCACTGATGTGATCAGTTTTCTGAAAAAGAAAGAGGCAAGACTGAAGGCACATCTAAAGCAGCGACAAGAGGGAGATAGGCAGAAGATTCATAAAGTGGCAAAGAAACTTGGTCAAGTGCTTTTCATCCCACCAATGAAAACACAAAAAGCAAGAATAAGTGCAGAAATTGACAAAGTTCACCACATTTGAAAGAACATTTTGAGATTGCTTCAAATTGCTTCACCCATTTTTGACATTTATTTCTGCCTTCTGAATGCAGCTGCTGGTCCTTTAGGCTTACTATGCACCCTCTCATTTTCAAAAGGATAATATCTTTTAAGTGTGCTACATATTACCTCAGGGCTATTAATGAACAGGAGGCTAATATTAATGTCTTTTAAAATTATTTTTATCTCAGGTATGTGTTGGTGCCCAGTTTCAGTTTAGCTAGAATAGATTTCAACACCACACTACACTAAACTCTCATACTAAATATTTGAACAAGAGGTGTATGAGAATGCTGTATATTTAGTACCATCTTCAATAAAGATTTTGATTAAGTATTACTTGACATGCTGATTATCAAGCTTGCTAAATGTTGGCTGAGTGGCATGACAATTGATATTTTAATTAATCATTTGAATGCAAAAGTGGAAAGATCCTTATCAAATGTTCAGATGTAATTGAGTAGGGTAGCTAGAAAGCAGAAATAGAATTCAAAAAAATCTCACTATGCTGGACAAATGGCATGAAATTAACAAATTCAGCATAGACATGTTCAAAGTTCTTCCTCTGGAAAACCATCACTGAATGCTTAAAATATGGGATAGAGCAGTTGTTCTCAACCTTTTCTTCATCATGGACTCCCTTTAAATACCTTTTGTGGCCACGGACAATGGCCACGGACCACTAAGACCTAACTCAAGATTTAAATCATAACTTTTCTTCACAGCTTGCCCTGTGATGATATTGTGATCTTCCAAAGGTCCGCAGACCACAGGTTGAGAATCATTGGGATGGAGGATACCTGACCTGGTATTAATATTTGTTTTTAAAAAAACCCTCTTAGAATAGTACTGATTCCAAATAGGAATTTCTTGTAGCTGAAAGAATGCAAATGCAATTTAGGGGTGTATCAAATCAGGCATATTTTTTTAATCATATGAAGCAATCATTTCACTCTATTCTGCTTTGGCCAGACCACTGTCCAGTTCTGGGCCCAGAAGAATTCAGAGAAATTGTAATACTTTAAATTAGGATAATGAAATGTATAAAAGAATTAGAAACTACATCTTAGGAAGAGACGGTTGGTCTTCACTGATAACTGATCAAGGTATGATAACACTCTTCTGATACTTGCATAGAAGCTCAAGGCCTATTCTCAATCCAGACTGCAGGATATAAAATAATGATTTTAAATTTCAGAACTGATTGAATGTTAGTAAAAACTTCCTAACAGTGGGATCATTCAATAGTGGAACCAATTACTGAGAAGCAGTGTGCTTCTTTTTATGTGATTATGTGTTCAAGCAGAGACTACACAACCACCTGCCAAGGACACGTTAATGTGACAACTTGCGCTGAGCAGGGAGTATGATCTGATGAACAAAATCAATTGCCCCATCTATTTTTTGTGTCTAAAAGCATTGAAATTACTTATTTTAAGCCTTAGGCATAAACAATAGCACATCTGGTATTCTGTGATCACTTAAAATATATCTTTAAAGAAAGATATGTAAAGAAAATCCATTTTGAGACACCTTTCCTGCAACCTATATGAAGATTTTTTTTCACAAAGCTGTTTGCTTTTTTCAGTATAACATTTCAATAAGAAGTAGATTTTTTAAAAAGCAGCTAAAGCTTCACAAATAGGCATGGAAGATTTCATAGACCCAAGAATTCTCCCTCAGGCTATTATGGTTAAAATTCTAGGGACAAAATGGAGAAGTGAAAAGAAAAATTCATGTTATTAAATGACTTCTACTCTCAAATTTTAGAGTTATAGCAAATTCAATCCTGTCATGTATAATATATAGCACATAGGTTACACAAAATATTGTTGGGGGATAATGTTTTGCTTGGGTCGACTTAGTGACCTGTAGTTAGTATGTGTCTCACGATGGCTGAGGAGGGCATTTTATGGCCATGATTTGCTATTGCTGTTGGATTACTCAGAGCTGTCTGGACCCATTTTGGAAAATGCTCCTTCATTCTGAAAGCCAAACACCTATCAGTTCTGCCGATGTAATTGTCTCTGCAATTGCACACAAATTGGTAAATACAATGGGCTTTGGCGCTGATAGGTTGTGCTTTCTTAATTAATGGTAACGGTAGCTTCTGGGTTTGATGCAGTACATGAAGCTCACCATACTGAATGTTGTTTCAGTTAAGGTATTTAAGCATTGAGTCATCAGGCATGTTGATCCCCCTTAAATGGCAGCTCAATAAAAACTTCATTTTTACTGACAGTTGGAACTGCTGGCTTTTGGTCTTTTATTTTACTGTGTCTATCAATGAAATGAGTTGGAATAGCCATTTAAACAGGGTTTGGGTTAGGAATTCTAATTCTTCCTTTAAGCAGTCCTCAGTGCATATTTAATATGCTTATATAAACAGTATCCATACCAGCACATGTTTATATTTAATTGGTGCAAAGCTTGAAAAATTCAGATACTGGCCAGATCATGTCAATTTCCTGTATACGTTCTTTTAATGGAACCATAACACCTTTGGATGATCAATATGTCCAGAAAGGGTAAATGTTCATCTACTTCATAATGTTTGATGGTAACCTTCAGATTGGAGTGACAGCTGTTTAGATGGTGCAAGTCATCAATGTATCTTGAAGGACAGAAGATCACTGTATTGTCCACATAGTATCTATAATATAACCTGGATATATGATCAGATGACAATGATTTGATCATATACATTAATAAATCTGCCAGAATTGGGCCTAAAGGACTTCCCCTCACAACCCCGTCAATCTGCTGATAAGACTGACCAAGAAAATGGAAAGAGACATTTTCCATGCAAAATAGCACTGTCTGTTTAAACATTTCTACTGGTATAGGAATTGATATACAGTTAGATTCCACTAAACTGCGCACACAATCAACTGCTTCATGAAGTGGGACATTTGTGAAGAGAGACTGAATCATTCACATTCATGGAATTCAACTTATTAGCAAGCTCAAACGAATCCGTTAATATTTTTATTAGCTTCTCACAGGCACCAGGATATCATGAGTCAAATGCAACTTGGTGGTAAGCAGAGCCACACGTAGCTAAAATGGGTCTAACCGGCCCTGCCGGCTTGTGCATTTTTGGTAGTCGATACATTTGTGGCATCATGAATCCATTAGGTTTTAACTTCTTGTAGGTCTTTTCATCAATGGTTTTCAACAAGAACATCATATGTAAATGTCGACTTATTCTTTCTTCCGTCATGCTAATGCTTTTGAGATTATTAATTTTTCTGGAACTTTGTTAGGTCATTCAAAATTAAAGAAACTTTCTGTTTCTGTTTGTCTAATACAACAGCTCCAATGTCAGCATTCCAACCAAACTCTCCATCTCAATTCAGCACTCAGAGACAAAGTCCATCCAAATAAGAATTTATTAGAGAAGTCATATTGGCACATCTGGGGAAATCCGAATCTGAATTCTCATGTTTTCCCCTGCTATATTAAACTCACACCCAGCCCTCTTTTTTGATGACCCTCAAATCACACTCTCCACTCCACCTCCATTCTGAACTCCCACCAAGTCCAGTCACTCCCCTCCAAACTCCAGCGACTTGGCTTTGAGCTCTGGCGAAAGAATGTTGTTGTGGCTATCCTTCCTACTCACTTTACTTTCATTCCCATGGTACCCATCCTCCCTTGTGGCAGCCCCAAATCTGATTCAAAATGGATGGGGGGGCTGACAGGCTGCCACCCCTCAAGTGATGATAATGTCCTGAAATGAAACAAGTGATGGGGTTAAATAAATATACTGCAACGAACCACCTCTTCCTCCCCTGGGGGTGGGGGGTGTTGGCTTATCGGGAGATTTTTTTCATGAAATTGCTTTTGACATAGTCTTCTACATCGGCTTTCATCTTTGGCTACCAGAATTGATGCCATGTCAAATGGAAGGTTTTTAGAAACCAAAGTGTCCAGCCAGCCTCGAGTTGTGGTGTTTTAATCTATCTGCTTTTATATCCCAACTTTTTACCCAATGGCTTCAGACAAAGAGTATCCCTTCCATTGAATTAAATATTGTAAGTCTCTATGTAATCTAGAATCACGAATCTTCTTATCTTATAATGTTCTTCCCCTGGACCAGTATTGCTTTGGGCACTGGTCAATTGTTGGGTCTTACTTGGAAGTAACAGCTGGCTTTAGTAAGCTACTATGGAAAACCCGATGCATTTTCCCCAGCAAACAAAGGAGACTCAGCTGAACAGTTACTGGGTTGATAACTGTCACTATAGAGAATGGGAAATCAATTGGTGCACGGAATGTAGTTCAGATAAAAAGTCTCGTGTTTCTGGAACCAGGGAATCCAAGCTCGACAAGGGGAAAAACCTTGGATGGTAACCCACATTTGCATAAAAAGGCGTCATGTGCATGGAGGTGTGCTGAGAATTGTTAAAGGCAAACTCCGCCAAGGGGAGATAGGTCACCCAATCGTTCTGTCGATGGTTGACAAAACATCTGAGGTATTGGGCGAGGATGCCAATTGCTTTCTCAGTCCCGCCATCGGTCTCCAGATGGTGCGCCGATGCCAAACATACTTGCACCTGTAATGCAGTCATTAGGCTCTTCCAGAACTGAGCAGTAAACTGGACACCGCGATCCGAAACTACTCTGTCCAGTAGGCCATGCAAATGGAATACATGTTGCAGAAATAGTTGGGCTGTAACACGAGCCGATGGTAACTTCCGACAGGGGATAAAGTGGGCCATCTTGGTTAGCATTATCAACCACCACAAGTACCGTCATATAACCCGACGAAGAGGGCAAATGTGTTAAAAAGTCCATGGAGATTGCCCCCCAGGGTCGGGTCGGAGTCAGTAGTGGTTGAAGGAGACCAGGAGGCGCACCCGATGCGGCTTTTGCTTGCCGACACGGTACACAGGAGGCGACATAGGCGAAGACGTCATGCCAGACTCGAGGCTACCAAAAAGTCCTTGTGACCAGATGAAGGGTTTTAAAGAACCCAAAATGGCCCACAGCTGGGTTGTCATGACATTGGGTCATGATGAGGGCTCTAAGTGTTCTGGTGGGCATGTACAATCGGCCCCGATGTCGTAGTAAACCTCCTCCAGAGTCCATGGGGAGTCAAGTCCAATTTCCCCCATTCTTTGCTGCGACCAATCGTCTAAGCGCTGCGCCTCTCTACCCAAGCCCTTAAACCCACCGGTTCCTGGAGAACGGCCAAAGATTCCGGTGGCAGTATCGTACGTGGAGGAAGGGGGTCCTCAGGACAAAGATACTCCGGTTTACAGGATAGAGCATCTGTTCTCCGATTTTGACCACTGGGAATGTAAGTGACCAAAAAGTTGAACCTAGCAAAGAACAATGACCACCGGATCTGTCATTGGTTCAACTTCCTAGCAGTGGTCAAATGCTCCAGATTACGGTGGTCCATCTGAACCTCCACCTTATGCCAAGCCCCCTCAAGGTGATGTCGCCGGGTCTCAAACGCAGCCTTGATGGCCAGCAACTCTTTTTCCCAGATTGTATAATTGCGCTCAGAAGTAGTAAGTTTCTGTGAATAATATGCACATGGAAAAAGAGGTGCGCCATCCACTGGGGCTTGTAACAACACCGCCCCAATGGCCACATTGGATGCATCTGTCTCCACCACAAACGGACAATGGGGATCAGGATGCCTCAAGATCAGTTCTGCAATGAAGGCTTTCTTGATAGCCTCAAAGGCCTGTTGCTGCGGGGGTTCCCACTGGAACGGGACCTTCTTGCGAAGGAGCTGGGTGATGGGATCCATCAGCTTGGCAAAACCTGGGATGAATGATCTGTAATAATTAGCAAACCCCAAGAGACGTTGCACATCTTTCACTTGATGAGGGGGTTCCCAACTACACAAAACCTCTACTTTCTGCGGGTCCATGGCAATGCCTTCAGGAGAGATGATATGCCCCAAGAACTCTATGGAAGTCTGGAAAAAGAGGCATTTCTCCAGTTTTGCATAGAGTTTATGCTCCCGAAGACGTTGTAATACCTGCCGGACTTGGCGAAGGTGGCTTTCCCTGGAATTAGAATAGATTAAAATGTCATCCAGGTACACCACCACGAACCGATCAAGCATGTCCCGTAATATATCGTTCATCAAATGCTGGAAGACCGCGGGAGCGTTGGTTAACCCAAATGGCATCACGGTATATTCAAAGTGGCCGTATTGAGTACCAAATGCCATCTTCCATTCGTCTCCTTTGCACATACGCACCAGGTTGTAGGCCCCTCGAAGATTGAGCTTGGTGAAAATAGTGGCCTCCCTCAACCGCTCCATCAACTCTGGAATGAGTGGCAAAGGATAACTATTCTTCACCGTAATAGCATTCAACCAGCTGTAGTCACAACACAAACATAAATCTCCCGTCTTCTTTTTTACAAAAAGGACGGGAGCGGAAAGAGGAGACGACAACAGCCGGATAAACCCCCGGGCCAAGTTCTTGTCCAAGAAATCGCAAAGAGCAGCCAATTCGGGCTCAGACATAGAATACAGATGGCCCTTGGGTACAGATGGCATTGGGCATTAGGTCCACAGGACAGTCATAGGGTCGATGCGGGGGTAACCGATCCGCCTCCTTCTCGCTAAAAACATCTGAAAAGTCAGATAGTTCAGGAGGTACAGAGATAGGGGGGCAGCGATGTCTTGACCAGCATAGGCATGTCGTAGATGGTCCACACACTGGAGACTCGGGAACGAAATGGCGTTCTGTGCCCATGCTACCCGAGGATCGTGCAACCATAGCCAAGCCATTCCGAGAAACAAGGGGAGATGGAGGTCCGATGTGATGTAAAAACTAATCGCCTCCTCATGGTCCCCAATGACCAGGCGTACCGGCTGAGTAGCAAAACGAATAGGCTCAGCCCGCAGTTCCTGCCCATCAATTTTTTCCACCTTAATGGGAGGCTCCACTGCAACCAAGGGAATGTCAAAATGTGTTGCAAAAGCCCGGTCCATAAAATTGGTCGTAGCCCCCGAATCCACTAATGCAACCGCAGGAATCTCCTCCAACCGGGACTGCAAGCAAACCCGTGTGTCCAAAAGCAAATGTTGGGGAGGACCAGAGTTCACCTCCGCTACTTCGGGCGGTTGTTTGATACTTGTCTGGCTTAGAGTTTCCCCAAGACCAGACCAACCTTGTTTCCCCGACTGTACAAGATTAGATTCAGGCACTGGCTTTCGTGCCCCCCGTCATTTACCAGGACAGGATCTTGCAAAATGTCCAGACCCCCCACAATACAGACACAAGCCTCCCTGGAATCTCCGCATGCGTTCTTGTGCCGTCAAACGAGGGCGGACCGCACCCAACTCCATCGGTTCCTTGGTTCTTGCCACGGCACTGTGGGACACCTGGGGCGTTGGTTGCACAGGATGTTGATGTGGCCTTGAAGGGGAGGGCTGCTCTGGAACTGGGCATCTAGTCTTGCACCATTGAAGCCGGGCATCAATGCGCAAACATTGCACCACCAGAGCATCCAGGGTTAGAGCCGGCTCCATGTGCACCAACTCGTCTTGTATTTCCTCTGCCAG